GGGGGGGGGAAGGCCCAGCTGGCCAAGCCGGTTCAAAGCGTGTATATTTAGCCTCAGTGGGCATGAACGGGAGGATTTTCTTTTTCCTGCAGAAATTTGGGCATGTGAGTCAGTGAGTCATAAGTAGATCATGTTTCTCTCCCCGTTGTGTTTGGAAAGGGACGGACGGGGAGTAGCAGGGCTGCGCGGCGGCGGCGAGCTGGGGCGTCCGCGCTGCCTCTCCGGCAGAAGTCACCGCGCTCGTCTGAGGACCGTTGCTACGCGGCTTTCCTCCTCTTCGTAATTCAGTTTATAAGAAGCAGGTCTGAGGCACGGAAAAGCATCGATGGTTTTGTGTGTGGTTTAGGGAAGCAGGTGGTCTTCCGACCAGGACTCTGTTTTGTATTTTGGAGGGGTGGGAATCCTCCTTCCTTGAGGATTGTTTTTAAGAGTTTGAGGAGGAAGGAGAGAAATCCAGACTTAACGATCTAGCTATTGGGTTTCTTTAAACGCCCAAGCACAACTGCATGCACAAAACTAAATGAGTGCTGGAACTATGGACTTAGGGGGAGAAGGTTGTATTTCACACAGCTCGAGGGACAGAACATCCACGTGCGAATATGCACGTGGTTCAGCTCTTGTAGTTTAAGAGTTGCGTTTAGGTGGCAAGTGCCGTACGCCCTGCTACCGGCACAGCAGAGAGGTGCGAGCTCTCCCTCCTAAGAGTCACCGTGAGTTTGTGTTTGATTAGGAAGTTAAACCTTGGCCCTCACACTGAGTTTCGTTATTGAGGTGGTTTGTTTCCGCTTTCCAGCGCTTTCGTTCTGGTGACAGGTTTGTTTTTTGTGAATGCGCTTTGGCCAAGGAAAGAGTACGAGACCTGAGACACAGGATAGCATGAGCTAAGGCTTTAGACTGAGGCTATTCAAAGGAAAAGGATAAAGTACCAATGTTTTAAAGGATTTCACAGCAAATATTTAATCTTCTTATTCTTCTGCATATTAAGTAATTTAACAAATGCTGGTTCTTAATTGCGTAGGAATTGCCGTTTGGACATGGGAGACCCCAAGATGTAAAAGGAGATCTATGCGATGTTGTCAGGATGTTGTCTTCTCTGCTCTTATGCCCTCTTTCCAGACCACTCTGTAATTTGCTGCCTTGGTGTTTGATAATTTTTTCATTCCTCTCGTTATTATTACCAGTCCTGGCATTTCTGAAACGCTTCGTAAAACTGGCACATCGGTGTATTCTAGCAGTCTGTAGAACAGGCAGTGTTTTTTCTGCATAAACTTTAGCTATGGATTGTTAGTTGCATGTTTTAAAATCTGAGTTTGTAGAGCGCACGCTACTGTCATAACATGCCTACTTCTATGGAATTCTGTTTTTTATATGTAAATTATGTACAAAGACAGCCTGTGTCCTAAAGAGACTGCAGTTTAATAAGCACATTGTCTCCATGTGCAATAAGCTCAGAGATTCAGAATCTTTAAGTAATTTTATGTTAATTTTCATATTACGTAGCAGAACAACTGCTTGTCCGGTACTGTGCAAATGTTAATAAATGCCACCTGATCCCTGGAGAACTTTTCATCTTTTTGGCCTGGATTTGTATTTAAGGGGGAGTTTTCATTCCATTTTCTGTGTAAATGAAATAGTCCATGGCAATCATCCTTATAATCTGTTCTTAATTAGAAGAACGAAGAAAAGTGTGTAAGAGGTTGGAACCTTCGGCTTCATCCTGAAACATTCAGACAGGGCACTGAGTTTGCATACGTCTTTGACAAAGGAAAAGTGCAGTAACTTGTATACTCTGCTGTTGCATGCAAGTGGACTAGTGCCTCGATTCTGTGTTAATTTTTATGGTTGTTTGTATTTCTTTCATAATCCTGAAACTTATTACACAACAGAAGAAAGATACGCAGATTATACTGCTTAATGAACAATATCGTGCTCGTCGTTACTAACGACTGGGGAAAAAACAAATATTGCTATACTTTAAACGTATGCGTGGGATCTAGAATTAATGGCACTCTCCAAACAGGACGTTGATTATGAGATCTGAATAGAATTCTTTCAAAGTAGTGGTTTGAAGCATGCTTCTAGTGAATGAAGAAAAGAGACAAATACTAATATGGGCAAGAAAAGACTTCCTTGTTCTCTTTGAAGTCATGTCAGTGACTATTCCTAGCTTTTTTGCAATGCCAAAAGGAAACCTAAAGAGTTTTCAAACCAGCTTGAGAAGACAGACAGAGCGACAATGATCAAATATACTTTCACTGCAGATATAGCTTAGTATTTGTCCAGTTAAATAACGTACTGTATTGGAAATTTTGAAGTGTCTCTCCATCAGCCTATGCATACTGTAAAACTTACGTGCTTCTTCTGATGGTGTTCCAGATGTGGAAGGCTACTGCAGGTCACACCATTTCTGTCAGTCAGGATGATGGAGCTGATGACTGGGAGACAGATCCTGATTTTGTGGTACGGCTTTCAAATTTTATCAACTCAGCAGAACTGTGTTACATGACACGTTAAAGAGTAATTGTTCAGGACCGGGTTTATATCTAAGCAAGATAAACCGATGCGAGTATATACCAGGAAGGAGGGGAGATTATGTGCCTGTGAGTGATTAACAAAACTGTCTTGTCTTGCCTGGGAACAGCAGGGTAGTCTGTACCCAAATAGCTGGAGTCAGGAAGCAGCAGCTTTTTGGGACCAGAAGTGTGTTACGTGCTGTCCAGCAATAGAAAGTGCGCAAGGCTCTCAGCCGACCAGAAGTGAATGTAGTAATAGCTAGTCTTAACTTTTCCAGTCTCGCTAACTTGTGAAGGCTTTTGCTGTGAACTCTAAAGTTCTAAGTAGCTAGTACCGTTATCGGGGTATTTAACTCTTTTTATGTGTATCCTTTGCAGAATGATGTGAGTGAGAAAGAACAGCGCTGGGGGGCCAAAACTGTGAAAGGATCCGGCCATCAAGAGCACATCAAGTAAAGCAGCTCTCTTTTAAATTTATTAATAGTCACTATCCCAGGCAACTTTTAATCCGTTCATGCCCTCGGTTATTTGCATCTTCATGATTAAAACAAGAGTCTCCATAGAAGATTATTTGCAACGTTGCCAGTCTTTCATAAATGTCGGCATCTTCACATGTGAAATTAAGATAAGAGCCATGGAGTAAGGACTCTCAAATCTTGCTTTTTAACAGGCAAGATTATTCTTCCTGCCTCTTTGTGTCTGGAAAGTTTCTTTGCTTTGTTTCAGTGTAAGAGCAAATACTGCCAGGGAAAAAGTTTTTGTTAGGTGAGCTGAGCAGCTCCATTTGGTACTTTAAGGGTACGTTTGCTCCTTTAATTCTTAGACTTTGTTTAGAAAGTGTCCTACCAAACTCATAAAAATTCTGGCAAGGTAACAAATTGAGCCGTCTGGCAGAAAGAAGAGTGAATGCATTACAAAGGGCTACGTGAGACAAAAACGATCCGACTTGTGAATCTTGTACTTCTTAGGTAAAGTGTGCAAGACCTGTCTAAACTTTAAGACAGTTTTAAGAAGTCTGTGATTGTGTTCTTCATTTTGGTTACGGCTGTGTATTTCTGGAGCATCTACCCTCGTGGTATATAGCTGAGAATAAATGTCATCAGTGTTGCAAATGGAGAGAGAGAGACTGAACTGTGTGGCTTACTTCAGGGATCAATTTTACTCTTTTATTTGGAGTGCAGTGGTGACACCTACTGGCTAAATATGCTTCAGGAAGCTTTAAACTCAGGTGGGAACAGTTTAAGGTACAGATGACCATCTTGGTTTTCCCTTGTATGTAGCCTGCGCTCCTTTAAGTTCAGTCCTTGCAGTTCAGCCCTTGCATATTGCATGGGAACGTTTGGGAAAGAGGAGGTGAATGTCTTCTGTGCTTCCTTATTTTGTGTTACGGTTATGTCCAAAATGCTTAGCTAGAGTCAGAGTCCCGTTGCAATAGAGGGACCGTGTGATAAGGGATGATCCCTGTTCTGAAAAGTTGCAATCTAAATAAAAACCATTGAGAAGAACTTAAATTGAAGTGGGACATGACAGTATGTTTGAGGCGCACACAGATTCTAGGTAACTGATTGTAAGGTCGTTCAAATAGCAAAACGTTCTTCTGTGTTAAACCCAACCCTTTCATTTTTTTCAGACAGTATTTTGCAGCGGAATAAGTTCTGATTCTCAGAATATGCCCTGTATACTACAAGATGGGAAGGCCTTGAAAAATACAAGTTGTCCAGTTTCTAGAATATCTTTTTGCTTTCTATTTTGCATCTTTTTGAAGTTATCTTCTGAAACTACTTTGGTAAAACTTGCTATATAGCTATTTAATTATCTATCTTTAAAGTATTCATCAGCTGAGAGAGAATGTCTTCCAAGAACACCAGAACCTCAAAGAGAAGGAGCTTGAAACGGGACCAAAAGCCTCCCATGGCTATGGAGGGAAATTTGGTGTGGAACAAGATCGCATGGATAAAGTAAGTATGCGTGTTTTCTTGGGATGACAGTATAAGCCTTGCATTGCCTGTGGTCAGGAGGACTACCCATGTGAGTTAGGCTTGTTGAAGCTGAAGAATGTTGTTGTTCCAGCTTTGCCAGGACGGTGGATGTAGAAGCTCAGATCGTGGCATAAGCTTCACACAGCTATGGCTCGTTTTGAGGACAGAAACGTCACCCTTATAGTGATGTATCAAGGTCACTTGTAACCACTACCATCCTAGTCTGGGAGAGAATCAGAATGTTGTGCCCTGTTCCCTAATTGAATCAAGACACTCCTACGCAAAGAACTGAACTAAAGCACTTGAAGTGTCAGGGACAGGTGTTTCAGGTGGCAAATTAGGAGTCTGTGAGTGATGAAGGGAAGTTCTGGGATGTGCAGGGGCATCACACGTTCTTGTTCGGTGCTTGCCCTGTCTTTAGAGGTAGTCTGCTTTGTTAGGTCTTGTGTGTGACGTCTTGACCTTGAGTGAAGATTTAAGTTTCTAAATGTATGTTTCTGAATTAAGAAAGTACTTAAGGCATGAACAGGCCCAGCGTTTTTTTATTTCATATTGTGCCAGCTCTGTTATGCGTACTGAGGTTGCCAAAGAATGAAGGAAAGGGTGTATTTCTCCTTTCATATTAGAAGGTAGCTCTCATCTTAAACAGGAAAGCACGAGCAGTGACAAATAATCCAGGTGTTTTAAAAAAAATTGTACTTTGGTCAGACAGTAATATTTTACATAAGGACTTGATGGCTGTTTAAGTTACACTGTATTAACAAAAGCCATTAGCCATGTGATAGACAAGCATATCAAATTCTGGCTAGTTTCTTGCATATACTCTGTTGAAGTAAGAGCCCAACTGTTTCCTGAATAAGAATGATTTTTAGTTTCTTATTCAATTTGCTTTCTGGATTTCTACTAATTTGTCAACTTCAAATTTTTGCTAGATTCCTGTATTCCGGAGTAAATTGCTGTGTAATTCTCAGTGGGCCTTTGGAGTAGGCTAACCTAACTGGTGACTCTGGGAAAGGAATTGCTGAACAGATTCAGTAGACCTGTTCTGCAGCTGCATAGCCCTCTAGTGTGGGCAATTTCTCTCTTGCCTGTCAGAATTAATTATCAGGAAAAATTTTGGTCATATCCCCTATCCATCCAATATTGGTGATAGGAGCTATTCATTTATTTTTTAACAAATAAAGCTTTCTTACAGATAACTGTAGTTTTAAAACCTAATCATTAAGGTCATCCCTTCAAGGGATGTGACCTGTGACTGTGCTAGTGTTAAGGTCTTGGCGCATCTGAAATAAATGAGAGTTATTGGAGTATTTAAACTTTGATGCTGACCTAAAATGAATAATTATATAATGCCATATACCAAACCTCCAGATCTGATCTAAAATGTAGCAGAATGTTTTTATACTAAGGAATTACAAGCATCTGAAGTACAGGTTTTGAAGAATTTCTAAAAAGAGGTATGTTGGAAAACTTGGTACATTAATGAGACACAGAATGGAACTTTCTCTGTTCTAGTACCACACAAAGAAAGCAGCATGCTTACTCTTACCTACATCAATTCAGTAAAACAAAAGGAAGAGCACATAAAGCCACCTAAAGCTTAGGATTTTTAGAGCTTCGTATCTTCCAGAGGTTTAATAGGGGAAAGGGAAGAAGAAAAGGAGATGGGAGCCTTTTCTGTCACATTTAGTGGTTCTTGTACTACGGAACACCTGCAAAGTGAACAAGAGTCTGAGTAGATCAGTCAGGAAAAAAAGGAGCATTTTATATTGCTTGTAAGTTAAGACATTGTCCTATTATTGACATCCTTGTTCTATTCCCTGACAGTTGCTTCAGCCGTTATGTTCAGTAACATTTTGCTTTCGTGGTTGCTGTGCATGTTTCCTCCCAACACCTGTATTAAAAGAATATGTAATACCTTTTTTTTTTTTTTTCCCCTCTCTGAGTTATGATTTCTAGACACCCTGCGTCGTCAAATTAATTGATCCAGCAATTAAGCTTGATCCAGCTGTCTGGTACTGGCACAAGATAAGCAACTTTCCATCCTCAAAGGTTTAAGCAGGGGACAGTTGTTCAGAGGATGCTCTTTGTGCGGCCACACATGCTGGCTTCCCAAAACAAAGGGGTCACATGCTAGGGCCTGCAGTGCCACGCGGCTGATGCTTGTGTTGAGTCAGGTGTTTGCCACAGAATATGGCCTTGCAATCTGGACATGGCTACATGGGTTCTTCTCTTTCTGCCTCTGACAGGAATTATATACATTTAAGCAACAGCCTCAAATATTACATTAAAGTAGAGAATTGCAAGTTGCTCTGACTGGTGTTCACTGTTGGCTCTGGACGAGAAAAACCTTCTTTTTGCTATATTACGTAGCAACCCTCAAGGCTTTAGCATTGATTCCAGTTCTAGGAAGTAGAGAGTATCTCTAAGAGGGTATGTAAGGCCTAGATTAATGAAATACTGGAAAATGTTATCTGTGAGTGTGGTAGGATGTGCTTTCAGGTGTGTAATTCCATATCCTCATGCCAGTGACAGCGTGATGTTGCGGCACCTCAGGTTGCTGTGTTTGGGCTCGTGTTCCAGCAAGAGACTCAAGCAGGAGGTTGCAGGGCAGGGATGCATTTAGCAGGGCAGCTCACTCTTGATGTGGATACCCAGCTTCAAGTTATGATGCCGTCTTGTAAGCAAGGAGAAAGTACAGAGAGTAGACGTGTAACGTCAATTTATGAAGAAGGTCAAGGTGCCTCCCAAAAGCAACGTCAATAGGAAAACCTAGCTGGAGTTGTATTCAGTCACAAACTAGTATCAGTTAGAGCGGATCTGTAACTATGTGCCTAAGTACCAGGCTGTGTATTTTATCTGGAACTAATCTCTATTTTAAATTTTGCATGACACCAACAAGATTCCATCTGTATCTTTCTTGCTTTCGTCTATGTCATTTAATGTATAAATCCAGAGTGTAAAACAGCCTCCATAAAGTACAGTCATTGCTGTCAGGCTCTTTCTTGGCACTCTCCTTGCTTAGGTTGTATTGATAACATGGTGACAGTCTTGTAAAGACATCTCAAGTGAGCGGCAATTTACAAGATAGTTAGCTTCAGCACAAAGAATGGGAATGATGCATATCTGTAAGGATGCTTGTCCTCACGTTACTTGGTGCAGTATTTTGCATTAACTACAGAACTGTATAGAACTGATAACCTGTCTTTGATCTTTCCAATTTCGTTTAGTCAGCTGTTGGACATGAATATCAGTCCAAACTTTCTAAACATTGCTCCCAAGTGGATTCAGTGAAAGGGTTTGGAGGAAAGTTTGGAGTACAAACAGATAGAGTTGACCAGGTAAGCAATTTCTTCTCATTCTGCAGTTCCCATAGTAGTTGTGTTTATCAGTTTGCACATACAACTGAAAAATTCCAATACCTAAAAATGCTATTGCTGTCTGTTCTTAATGCTGAGTTTGAAGTTTAGCAGTAAACTGTCCTTGACTGTTACGGAGACTAATTTCTGTTTAAAGCAAAACAGAAAAAGTCTCTTCAGAGA